TTCGACACGTATCCGGTAAAGTGGCGAAGAATAACTTCGTGGGGAAGCTTAGATGTCCGAGTAGTTAAAAAAGTCATGTAAAATGTGAAAATCGTTAATACGTATTGAAGCACTGCGGCATACCTACTCTTTTCTGCCCACGAAACACCATAGGTAATTAGGAGCCCTGTTCACAGTAATGAGACGATTGTAAGAAAGATAGAAAGAAAGAAAGAACTATTTATTTGATATACACATTTTACACACATTAAGAAAATTTTATAAACAAAAGCAAGGGGGAAAAGAATGCATGTACCAGTCTGACACTGTTTACGCATTTACAATTGAGAAGCAGTACATACACAATAATAAAACAAACAAACAAAAAGGTAAAAACGAAAAAATAAAATCAATATGAAAATGTGACATCAAATAGGTCTCCAACTCAGCATAATGCTGCAAATACAGCGCTGGTTTTCTGTTGGAGCCTTGTGACTTCACAGACAAGTTGGTGTGTGATCTTCCAACTAAGAGTTATATACGAGTTCATAGTTATCTATTAACAGTTACGAGTTAAAAGGTAGTGCTAACATATTATATAACGTATACACACATACACTGAGACTAAACCTAGGTAACAGGTGTGTTATATTACTATACATTTAAATATTACCTACTTATATACTTATACATACAATATTAACATGATATTTGACTATTCTGACTATTCTATGGGGAAGACAACTTTTACTTTTTTCATAAAATTAGATAATTCAATATTCTGAGTCAAAGATACACGCCATATTACGAGACCTGCTGTGGATATTTAAAGCAAAAAAATAATAATAATAATATTGAAACTAATAAATAATCATTCATGAAATACATAACAGAAACACATTAATAATCAATAATATTCGAACATGAAAAGTGTAGAACAAATATAAATATTGCTATCATCGTATGTTCCTACGTTCGAGACAGTTATTACGTATTTTGTACTTGTTGTACCAAATAATTCAACTTTAATTTCTTTTTAAAACTACTTAATGTTTTTAGGGAACGAATAGGTGTTGCTGCAAATTTGAAGCTGCCTCGAAATGCAGCAGTACGGTGTTGAGTTGTTACAAGCGAGTGAACGGAAGCTCTTGTATTATATTTATTTTGGTCTCGGGCCCATTTCAACTTTTGGAAAAGATATACCGGTCTCTGCTTTATAATTGTCGAGAACAATAGAGTAGCAAGATATAATTTTCTCCGGGCGCTCATCTTAAGAAGATTGGCGTCGTTTAAATAAGGCGTTACATGACTTCGAGGCGGGACAGGAAAACAAAAGCGAGTACACGCATTTTGCACCCGCTGTATAAGCTTTTCTGTTCTTCTCAACAGTCGTGGTCCATAGGCTGCATCTGCATACTTTAATTTGGACAGTATTAATGATTCACACAATCGTATCCGCATATCTACACTGAGGTACTGCCGAACTTGGTACAGTAATTTTGAACGATAAAAACAACTGCGCACTCCCTCAAGTACATGACTTTCAAAGCGCAAACTACAATTAAATATTACACCTAAATTTCGTGCTTCTGAGACTTGCTGTATAGGTTCATTGTCAATTAGAACTACTGGCTGAAACAGTGATATATTTTGTATATTTTTATTTGTTCCTAGTATTAAAAATTTTGACTTTTGTGGATTTAGTACTAGAGAATTTTGCTTGGACCATAACAAAATACGTTTCAGATCCTCATTCAATGATTTGACAATCTCGAGGGTAAAAAGATTTATATATTTGTAAGTCATCTGCGTATAAATGATACTCACATTCTTTTATACAGTTAATGATGTCTGAACTATATAAAATAAATAAAATAGGACCTAGGATAGACCCCTGTGGGACACCGCGAGTAACTACGTATGGATCAGACATAAGTGTTGTGCCATCATGGTTCGTTATATTAACGTATTGCAATCTATCTGTTAAGTAACTATGATACCATTTAACTGTGGAAGGATCAAATCCATAAAAAGATAACTTGGACAGTAGAAGAGTACAATTTATAGAATCAAATGCTCGTGAGAAATCTAAAAGAGTAAGTATTGTGCCCATTCCCTTATCCTGGGCTGTTAGTATGTTGTCGACAACATCAATAATCGCTGTTGTGGTGCTATGATCTTTACGAAAACCCGACTGTGCCCGCGGTAAGATTTTATGTTGCTCTAAGTATTCAGTTAACTGCGTACAGACCACTTTCTCTAGTACCTTAGACAAACAAGGCAAGATGCTTATAGGGCGTAAATCGTTTAAAGAGTTAGCTTGTTTTTTCTTTGGGATAGGTTTTACCACAGCTGTTTTCCCTTGATTGGGGAAGGTGAAGGTGGTAATAGATTTATTCACAATGGCAGTAATAGCTTTCAAAGTATGTGGCAGTGTTATAAGCAACATATCAAGTGTTATCTGATCCACACCTTGGGCGTTAGATTTCAAATTTTGAACAATTTTAGCCACTTGCTCCTCATTTGTAGTAGTCAAATGGAAAATACCTGGTTCATATCTGTTAAACTCATAGAAAGTTAGTTGTGAAAGGTCTATATTATCATTACCGGGAATATTCAAAAAATGTTTATTTATTATATCAGGGTTATTACAATGATCTGGTAAATTTATCTCAGCCTGTCCCTTAGTAATAATATTGGATTTTATACTTCTCCAAAGAGCTTTAGGGTTACTTAAGTTTTTATTTATAGACGTTTCAAAATATGCTTTCTTTTTAAAATGAATAGCATTAGTCACAAGGTTTTTTAAATCTTTATAGGAATTATAATATTTATCTAGTTTAGTTTTCTTATATCGCATGAGATAATTGTTTCGATACCTCATCATAATTTTAACTGTATCAGTAATCCATGGGTGACATTGTTTTTTCAATTGTACTAATTTAATTGGGGCATGAAGGTCAAAAAGCGTTATTATAAATGAATTAAATATTGCTACCATATCATTAACATCGTTGAGATATAAAATACTATCCCAATCAATACTGTTTAAATCTGCATTAAAATGATCTACCAAAATCTGCTTAAGTGGACGAATGTAAGCCTTACGGGCTATAACCTTATCCTTTTTAATGGTAAATTGTACGGTTATTAATGCACGTTGCCCTAATTGTGGTATATGTGACACTGTAGTATTACAAACACCAATGTCGGAGCATACCAAGTCAATGAGAGTTTCGCTGTGGTCTGTATAATGTGTAGGCTCAGATGTAACTTGAGATAGATGAGTATAATTGAGAAAACTATGAAGAAGTTTAGCTTTACCGGCCGCGGCGCGTGCCGCAGCCGGTACCCGGGCACAACGGGAGCGCGTCCTTCCTCACCCTCCCTCAGCCATGTTTCATTTATTGCCATGATGTCAACCTGAGAGTCCTCTAGAGCAGCTATAAATTCGTCTTGGCGTGTACCCAGCGACCCAGCATTAAACAAACCAATTTTGAGTAATTTGTTTTTCACTTTTATTAAGTTGGTTGGATTGTAAATACTGAATTTGTTTTAATATTAGTGTGTTTTCCCCATAGATTTAAATCATAATATATAAATAGGCGATCACAGTATGTAATGTAATATAACATAATTATATAATTTAATAGAATTTTAGGAGTGCAATTTTCACATATAACAATTATTGGTATTGAGTATGAATTATAATATATGTAAACCAACTGTAGCGGTATAAGTATTTGATGACTATGAATATTTTTACCACTATTAAATTTGTTATTTTTCACAAATCTTACAACCGAACATTTTTGTAGCTTATACATAATATTAAACGTAAAAAGTATTATAGCAATTGGCCGATAATAATATAAAGTATAAATTCTAAAGTGAACACAAGTAACATAACAAATCAAAAGGTTACACATCTTAAACATAGCGTACTGAAAAATCATACTAAAAAAAGTATAAGTTTTAAAACAAGAGTTACATCCAGGATAAAAAATATGCATGCGTGTACAAATATAAATAATATTCAAAAATAGCAACGTCCTTAAATTAACTTGAAGGTGGCCTAACTGCATCGTTGCCAAAAACACGGATCAGATCTGCCTCAGATCGGAGGAAATGAGCAGTCTTCCCATCTTCCTGACGAGCATAGATTTTACCACGTCTGGTCCATGAATATTTCCTCCGCAGTTGCCTTGTTGCCTCCCGAACCCGGTAGAATAGCTGACGATTAGCTCTTGAGAGACGCTCATTAATATAGAAGCGACAAGGTGGACCTGGCAGACCAAGATCAGCGGTGGTAGCATTGCGTCGCACGCGTGCGCTTCGTAACAACTCTTCGCGCAGCTGGCGGCGTGCTAGGCGCACCACCACGCGTCGTCCCCGCCCCTTACCTTCATCTGCACTGTCACCCTGATTCCTTACACCCACACGATCCGCAAACACGATGTCCCTCTCGTCCAGCGATACTCCGAGCTTGGCAGCTATCAACACGATCGTATGAGTGATGTTCTCAGTTCTTTCTTCCGGAATATTTGTGATCTCAAGGTCAGCCGCAAGCAACTCCTGCTCTCGATCATTAAGCTCACTCGTGAGTCGAGAAACGGTTTGTTCGAGCTCATTTATTTCGACAGACCTGCTGCATTGAGTCTTCTGCTCTAGAATGCTAATCCTGCCCTCCATTTCATCCATTCTTTTATTATTCATCACTAAACATTCCCGCAGTTCAACCATATCCCTCCGAAAATCCTTTAGCTCCTCCCTGACCCTACAAAGTTCCTCTCTGAAAAGCCGAATTTCCGGAATCAATTCCTGGTGAAAAGAGTACTTACGTAAGCTGCTACTTTACTTTTTTACCTTTATTGAGACTTATAAATCCGTTTGTCATTTAAGATAGCTTTGATATTTTCAGACAAATTAAGATTTGTGTGATAGTCCTTGTTTCATAGGTTACTTCAGTTTATGTAAATGATCAAGTCAAAATACTTTAGTTATCAAAGATATCAGATTTTCCTTAAACAAAGGTTTATTTTATTTTCATAATCATAATCATAATCATTTATTTCGTGGATCATAGGTATTACATAGAGGTTAGACACATTATTATATAATCCAGTTCAACTATGTCCTACCCTGTTGGCATACGAAGTACAATATTTTTGGAAATCATTTAAAGTAATTAAAAAAAATAACAAAAAAAAGGAACGTAAACAAAACATTAGTGGATATAGAATTTGAGAAAAGAGTTAAGTATGTTAGAAATCTAATTATGACATAAATATATTGAATAATAACTAACGTTTTATTATGTACATTTTTAAATAATGGCCTAGCAATATTTCAAACAAATAAATAATGACACATTTCATTGTTTTTTATTCATTTAAATTTTAAAATTAATTAATAAATTGTATCAAATATAATGTAATTACTTTTATATTTATGTTAACATAATCATGTAAAGCAAATCATTCATCCAATGGTTGAACCTGTGATTTTTTTTATAATTTTAACTATTGAGTATCAAAAAACCATTATTTGTCAAAGACGGTATTCACACTGATCCAAACATAAATTTCATAGTACATAAGCATTATTATTTAATTTAGCTTATGTTTTAATTGCAATTTGAAGTGTCCATTTACCACGTTCTCGGCGGTGCAGGAAAACTGGCATATCTGAAAAGTTCCCGAGTTGATGTGATTGCGCATTGCGAACGGTTTAAAATTCTAAACGTAATTGTAAATACAGTTTTGTTTTAGTAACTATTATTTGTAGTGGAGTGAAATAACATGCACTTACAATGATTTCTGATCAAATGTTTATAAAATCGCAAAATAGTGTATTCTGACTTACGTTGTCCTTCGATTCGTGTATCGATTTTTATCTAATATAAACGGTAAAATAATAAATATAATAACTTATAAGATTTTTTATTAAAAAAAAAATGATTATTATATAAACAATTTTGCAAACAAAACCAAATTCTTTAATATATAAAATTTAGTTTTTTAGTTTTTCTATAAATACAATAAACTTATATACTATAAAATATAAATCTCAGATATCACTTGGAAACAGTCTTACCGTGATACTTATTACCATTAATGAAACTATACTTATTGCCCTTGATCCAATTATTTTATATCATACGTCTTTAAAGGTAAAATTAAAAGGCCCTTTTACGTAATTCAAAGAGCTTTGATATTGTTTAAGTGGTTCTCCAAACCACTCTATGTGGAAGTTCTGAACGACACGAGCAAGGAACGCTTCCAACTCCAACTCAGCTATGCGACGCCCTGTGAAAATGTAATTAATTTTTTTTTCATTTAACAATTTCTTAACATTAACGAAACAGTAGAAAATAGCCAGAGACTACAAAAAAAAGGATCAATGAAGATACTCGTTATATGTTTATTTTTGAAGGCGCATACATGGATCTGCTCTGTGGGTTTCAAACGAAAAGAAATATAAAATTCTGGCTTTGGAGATATATTTCTACCATTGAAGCCATCATCAAACCAGAATTCACACTCTGGCAGGAATATAACAGACGTTATGTCTGTTTCCACTTGAAAACCCTATATCTACTATTGTAAACAACGAATACTTACGATAATGTAATCTTGATTTTTTTATGTGTTTATTAATAAATTAAAAAAATTGTAAATTCCTTTGATTAAAACTTTTTTATAGCTTAAAAATCTATATATTTATACGTGAAAGAAAAGTGTACCCTTTTTTATAAATATGGCGCGCACGGAGGAGTGTGAGATTTGGCAAAGTTAAAGTTTATATGGAGGAAGAGTGCAGAAAGATAAAATTTATAAATGACTAGCGATACGGCCCGGTTTCTCAAGGGTGATATTTGGATTTCGACAACAGCTCCACCTATCGGGTCCAATTGTGAATCGTTTAGATTACCCAGGGACCCACTCAAACACATTATAGAGCTTTAGTGAGAATCATCATCATCATCATCATTACAGCCCTTCACAAGTCCACTGCTGAACATAGGCCTCCCCCAAAGAATGCCACAAAGCACGGTCCTGAGCCACCTGCATCCATCGACTTCCTGCATGTCTTACCAGGTCGTCACTCCATCTCGTGGGGGGACGCCCTACACTTCGCCTACCGCTACGAGGCTGCCACTCGAGAACCTTTCTTCCCCATCGGTTGTCGGTTCTTCGAGCTATATGGCCGGCCCACTGCCACTTCAGCTTACTAATCCGTTGGGCTATGTCGGTTACTCTGGTTCTACTGCGGATATCCTCATTCCTAAGTTTATCACGCAGAGAAACTCCGAGCATAGACCTCTCCATAGCTCGCTGAGCGACCTTGAGCTTCCTCATACGGCCAGCAGTGAAGGACCACGTCTCAGTTCCATAAGTCATCACTGGCAACACGCACTGGTTGTACAATTTCGTTTTCAGGTTTTGAGGTATGTTTGACGAGAAGATGTGTCGTAGCTTCCCGAACGCTGCCCAGCCGAGTTGAATCCGTCGATTGACCTCTCGGTCGAAGTTGGACTTACCTAGTCGGACTATTTGTCCCAGGTAAACATACTCGTCAACAACTTCGAGCTTAGTGCTCCCAACAACTACCGGCATAGGTGTGACATGGACATTAAACATAATCTTTGTTTTGTCCATGTTCATCTTAAGACCTATCCGTAGGGAAACACTATTGAGGTCATTGAGCATAGTGCTTAGGCCCTCCAGCGATTCTGCCATAAGGACTATATCGTCGGCAAATCGAAGGTGAGTGATGTACTCGCCATTGATGTTGATACCGTACCCTTTCCAGTCCAGAAGCTTGAAAACGTCTTCCAATGCAGCGGTGAAGAGTTTCGGGGATATGACGACACCCTGTCTTACACCTCTCTGCAATTGGATAGGTTTCGTACTCTGGTTCTGTACTCGGATAGCCATCGTAGCCCTACTGTACAAGCACTTCAACACTTCGATATACCGACAGTCAACTTGGCACCGCTGAAGGGACTGCAGCACCGCCCAAATTTCGACGGAATCAAAGGCTTTCTCATAGTCCACATACGCCAGACATAGTGGCAAATTGTACTCTTCGGACTTCTGTACAATTTGCCGAAGGGTATGTATGTGGTCTATGGTGCTAAAGCCCTTTCGGAAACCGGCTTGTTCGGGAGGCTGGAAGTCGTCAAGTCTGCGCGCGAGACGATTAGTAATGACTCTCGAAAACAGCACGTAGACGCGGCTCAGAAGGGAAATCGGTCTGTAGTTCTTCAGGAGAGCGTTGTCACCTTTCTTGAAGAACAAGACCACCGCACTTCTGCTCCACGCCTCCGGTGTAATGCCACCATGGAGGACGGAATTAAAGAGCTTCTGAAGGACTTCAAGTACCGGTCTTCCACCCGCTTTCAGAAGCTCCGCTGTAATTCCATCCTCGCCTGGGGCCTTACCGTTTTTAAGGTGCTGGAGAGCCATTCTAATCTCGCTCAGACTGACGTCCGGGATATCTTCGGAATAGTGTCGGATGAGACTCGCTCTTGGATCGTTACTCACACTTGCGTGTGGCTCCAACGATGACGTGTACAGCTGCCCATAGAACCTCTCAATCTCACTCAAAATCTCAGGTGTCCCGGAAACGATGCTGCCGCACTCTGTCTTCAGCTTTGACAGTTGGCTCTTTCTGGCAGACAGATCTCTGGCAAAGACTTTGGAGCCTTGGTTCCGCTCGATCGCTTCTTCAATACGAGCTGTATTGAAGTTGCGTAAGTCCCGCCGCATGCATTTGGAGATCTGTCTGTTCAGATGCCTGTATGCTGTCAAGTCTGTTGAAGAATGTAGCCTCATCTCCCGTCTAACAGCCATGAGATTAAGAGTGTGATCGGAGAGTTTTTGTGTTCTTCTGCGGCGGGTCTTGCAGAACTTAGCTCCGACCGCATGGACAGTTTCCACGAGCTTGTCATTCATATCGTCCACTTCATTGCAGTCTTCTAGGCACTGAAAACGGTTTTGTAACTCGAGCTGAAAGGTTTCGGGACTTTGGAACAGAACACGAGGGGGACGGAGCGTTGACTTCATTAGACGAGACCTCTCCAACTTAACGTTTAGGTTCAGTGTGCCTCTAACCATTCGGTGATCGCTACCAGTTTTCACCCTCGCGATCACGGAGACATCACTGAACAGTTGTCGTCTGGTCGTTATAATGAAGTCAATCTCATTTTTTGTCGAACCGTCGGGGCTCGACCAGGTCCACTTCCTGTGGGGCCGCTTCTGGAAGAAAGAGTTCATCATAAAGAGTCCCTCTTTCTCCATGAAGTCGGCCAGCTGCTGGCCCCTTGGGTTCCGTTGCCCTATTCCAAATTTCCCTACTTTCAGCTCACCGTTCTCTCTTGTGCCTAGTTTTGCATTGAAGTCTCCCATTAACACCGTATATTGGGTTTTGGAGGAATGCATGGCTCTAGAGATATCCTCATACATTTCCTCCACCTCCTCATCGGGGTGTGCCGAGGTTGGTGCGTAAACCTGTATGACCTTCAACGAATACCGTTTGGTGATTCTGAGTATAAGGTACGCAAGCCTCGTTGACACACTCCCGATCTTTACAACGTTGTTAACAAGAGACTTGTGGACGATAAATCCGACACCTCCTTGGGACAGATGGTCGCCCTCCCGGTGATAGAACAAGTTGCCGGATTCGAGGATTTCCGTGTCCTCCCCCTCTCTTCGGACTTCGGATAATCCTATAATATGCCAGCGCAACTTGTCTATCTCTTCTTCCAGCTCCACGATCTTCTCGTCAGTCCTCAGGGTGCGTGCGTTGTACGTTGCCAGGTCAAGTCGTCTAAGGTGGCAACCGAACCTCCACCGGAGATTCTTAGCACCCCCTGCCCCGCCGTTACCATGGTCGCCACCGTAGCCAGGAATAGCGGGGCCGCCGGGGACTGGGGGCCGTCTCTTTGTTACACTCATAGAGGGGGTATTTGCCATAGTTGCCACGCTTGGCGAGCGGGTTGGCAACCGCAGTTTTTTTATTATAATTTTGGCTATTATCAGGAAGATGCTGCTGCCCATCTCCTGCCTGTTTCCCTTTGTCGCCTTTTACGACACCCACGGGAGGATACGGGGTAGTGGATATTCTTGACCGCCACTACACGGCAAAGTGTGTGGCGGTCAAGAATATCCACTACCCCGTGAGACTAACGGACATCAATTGATTTTTATATACAGAGATGTGTGTTACAAATACATTAAATTGAAGTAAAATAAAACATACAATGTTATTTTGGCAACTTATAAATTACTGCCAACGTCCAATCAAATAACTCAAATTCATAACACACAATTAACGAACTTGTAACAAAATCAATCGGAAATTAAATCGAAGTTGAAGAAAAAGTAAAATTTTTTTCTGATAATCACCCAAACTTTCTAGATTTTATCGATTATAGATAAACATATATACTTTTATATCTGAACAAGCAAATATATTACGTACAAATAATTTTAAATTAATATTATTTTTTATCTAAGAATTCTGTGAGAATACATACATATATTGGCTTTTTGGCGAATTATAAAAGAAAATATATTTAATTTAAGAAAGGTATGTTAAATCGATCATGACCACGAAAGGGCATGAAAAAATGTATGATTTAAATGACCAATATTATGCATTCCACACTCTCACAAGGATGAGAGTTTTGCAACATAAACAGTGTTACCGTGAACAATGTCCGAAGCGTATTCTAAATATTATTATTGAGGTATATTTTTACTAAAGACTATTTTAAAAAACTTTTGGTATATTAGGTTAGATTTTTGCAAAATAAAAAAGGTTTACACCTTTACTACGCTTATTTTTATCCCAATATTGTGTCTATCTTACTCTAAATAATGTTTTTGAAGTTGTTCACGCCCTGAGCTGCCCCGACAAAGGTTGACGGGACTAGGGCCCATCAGTAATCCAATCTACGGACAGCAGAGAATGGGGCCCAACTTAAAGTTGACGCGTAAAACGATAGAAAACAGTCGACACACAAAAGGCACTTAACGCGACGTTACATATCAACATTAACTTCAAAAAAAAACAATTAACCGGGCCACGTTCTCTAAATGGAATGCGAGCACCAAGTCCCAGACCGTATGTCCACTCGGCGTGCGCGCAAGGTTCCACGTCACACAAGCAAGTGTAACATTGCGAAATGCACTTCAATATGCAATCACTATACAATTAACGTAATTACTTGCAAACGAAATTACTTTAATCACTCAAATTCAATACAAGCCTCTTGTCACGAAACGTACAACTTAGACAA